CTCCTGGGTGGGCTGGAATGACGAAGGATGGGGAGAGGGGGAGCGTGGGGGTCGGGGAGAGGGGGAGCGTGGGGTCGTCTCTGGTCTTGAAGGTGATGGGTGCTCAGAGGCCCAGGAGTTCCCAGCTCAACCTGCTTGCCAGGACTCCCTGTGTCTCCTGAACCCCTCTCTGTGACACTGACAGATGAGAGGTTGGAGGACGGAGGCTGAGCCCCACAGCTTGGGCCTGAGCTCTGCAGGGCCTGGGGGCCGGTGGAGGAGGGGGAGGGAGGAGAGCCGGGGAGGCCTGGGACTCTAGGGCACAGGGAGGTGGGATGGACAAACGGGGGTGGGAGCCTGACCGTGGGGTGCTCAAGGGAGACCCTCTGGCCACTGCCCTGGCCCAGTCATCTGCGTACAGGCTTGGAGCCTGCCCCTCAGAACCTGTGGCACTGGGGCACAGGAGCCCCAGACGCTGAGCCGCTCTCCTTCCTCCCCATGTCCCTGCCTCAGCTGGTCCCCAAGCGCAAGAAGAAGAGCCGGCCCAGGAAGATCGCAGCCCCAACAGCTCCCCAGAAAGCCCAGGAGCCACAGCGGGGCCACGACAATGCGGGCCGGGGGGCTAAGGCAGCGGAGAAGCGGAGAGCAACCAGGACGGCTCCTCTCAAACCAGGGGTGGCCAAGGAGAAGGCCCCCAAGAGAGGCAGTGAGATGGGAGTCAGTGGAGCAAAGCTGGGGGACGCCGCCAGGGTCCCCCCGAAATCGGACAAGGCTGTTCGGGCCCCTCCCAGCGCCAACGGGCTCGGTGGAAAGATGAAGGCCACGGGCAGTGGGCGCGGTCAAGGTGTGAACAGGGCTTGGGGAAATGTTTGGCTTAAAATGGGGAAACAACTCATGTAGTTGGTGGGTGGGCAAGCAGGGTTGAGAGGCACCAGGGGTCTGGGGCTGCCATCCTAAAAGTCCTGGAAGGCTTCCTGGAGGAAGAGGAGGAGGAGGCCCAGCCTCTGAAGGCAGAGCTTTAGCCCTCCGGCCTGCGGTGGGGGAAGGGAGAGGCCTGGGAGGAAGCGAGGCCGTGGTTAGTGTTTTTAGATGCCTCCTGACTGCCATGTGCCAACTAAAGGCCTTGGGCCTGTGGAGGCCCTGTCCAGGTCTGCCCAGCGCCCTGCGTGGAGGAAGCGGACCTCGCGTGCTGTGGTGTGGTGCGATGGGCGGGGTGCGGCAGCTCACCTGGGCCACGTGGTCCCGGGTGGGGGAGTGAGGGCTGCTGTCCAGGCAGGGCTGCGGCCCCAGAGCCTCTGTCTCCTGATGCCTGCCATCTTCCAGGAGCAGCTGAGGCCCACAGGAAGATCAAGGCCGAGGGGGGACTGGTCAGGCTGCCGGCCAGCAAGGTAGGTGTCTGTGCCCTGCCAGGCCGGGGGGGGGGAGGGGGGTGGGCAGGCAGCGCTTCCACCCGTGCCCAGCAGGTGTGGTCTACCCACGCTGGGAAGGAGGGGGCCTCTCCAGAGCCGCCCGCTGAGCCCTGTGCCAGCCCCTCCTCCTCGTCCCCGTCTTGCTTTCTCATAGGTCCAGAATGGCACCACTTCTCCCACCAAAAGGAAGATGACAGCCCGGGCACCAACTGGGGCAGCCGCCCCCAGGGCTGGGGCGGGGCCCAAGCGGAAGGGGGCGAGCCCTCCCATGGGGAGCGTGCCCAAGGCCCAGTCCCCGCACAGGGTCAGGAAGACACAGGCCCCTGAGGGCTCCAGGAAGCCGGCGCTGCCCACCAAAGCCGCCTCCTCCAAGGCATCCAGCAAGAAGGTGGCCAGGAACTAGGGCTTGACTGGCAAGAGATGGTGTTCGTGTGATCTTTTATCCCCAACAAGCCATCGGTCTATTTAATTGTAACTTATCAATAAAGAGTACTTTTTTTGTTTTCTCGCATGTCAGGATGGGGAGAAGATGAGGTTCAAGGATTTGGCCTTCTGCACGTACACTCAGCAATCACGGAGCACCTCCTGGTGACCTGCCTGTGCAGGGGACCACACGGCGCCCCTCTTCCTGGAGGGAAGGGTGCATCACGAGTGGACAGTGGGACACGGATGGCCTCGGGAGCCTGGGAGGGGCTGGGCCGTCCAGGCTGTGGGACTGGGGATCTGGAAGCTGCACGGATGAGAGGGCGGAGGCCTGGCAGAGGGCACCGCAGGGCTGCTGCGTTGGGGGTGTGGGAAAATGGGATATGGCTCTGCGGGACCCTGGGGGAGGCCGGAAGGCTTGCTGGGGCAGATGGGGCAGCTGTGGGCAGGGGCGAGCAACCGCGTGGCTGCGGGAAGGAGGGATTGGAGGAGCTGGGCCAATGGCCAGCCCGCAACTCCACCATCAGGACGGCCGGCCTGGGAGAAGAGGCCTGAGGTCTGCGCTGGCTTAAAAGGCCCTGGGGCGCTGTTCCATGAGAAGGGCCCATGCCACCCCGTCCTGTCTGGGCTCCGCCACCCCCTGCCCAGAGCACAGTGGCAGTGCCTCCGGACAACGTTTTAGACCAGCAGCTAGTGTGTGTGTGATTTTTTCCCAGTCGTAGAGCTTGAACTCGGCCTGGGTGCTTGTCTTTGGTCTTCTTTGCTCAAGCCTGGCACTCTACCACTTGAGCCGCAGTGCCACGCCCAGCTTTTTTTCTGTGATGGGTTGGGGGTGAGAATCCCATGGACGTTCCTTCCGCAGGCTTGGATTGAGCTGCCACCCTCAGATCTCAGCCTCCTGAGTGGCTAGGGTTACAGGCCTGAGCCACAGGTGCCCGCTTTGTTTCCTGTGTTTTAGGTCTTTGACATGCAGTCTTGGAATTGGGCACATGCTGTGGGGAGCCAGGCGCCACGTCCACCTCAGCCCCAGCCACGCCAGAGTGTCACGTGATCTCCGGTTCCACCCCTGCCCGAGGTGGGGGAGGGGCAGGTGGACCGCCTCGCCCAGTCCTGTCCTGATGGCAGACCCAGATGCAGAGTGAGTGCTGGGTGTGCTGGGCCTCCGGTGGCGGTGGCGGGCCTGTGACACGGGAGCCGGAGGGGCCCTGCAGGGGGCAAGGGCTGCCATCCAAGGGCGCTGGAAGGCTAGGCCCGCCTGTCACCTCCTTTGTTGTAAGGAACTGTCAGAAGAGTGGGTTTGGCTTGCATGCCCAGCCAGGGGCTCCAGCTGTGGCCCGGAGTGGGAGGGGCTTGTGGAGGCGGGGCCGCACAGGGCGGATCTGAGTGACCTCAGACAAAGGCGGAGCTTATGGAGAAAGGAGCAAGCCCTACTAGAGGAGATGGAGGCTGCCCAGCGTGGGCATCAGATCTATCTTCCTGAAGTTGCTTGGCCCCTCCCTGCCTCGTCACCTCTCCCCCTCCTGGAACCCCACGAGGGCTTGTCTGGCGCTGCCGTGGCCTCCCTGGGGTGGCTAAGTGTGGTTGCCAGCCATCCCCACGGGGCACGGGGAGCAGGTGGCAGCTGGTGCTTCCTGGGCTTCTTCGTAGCCTGGCCTGGGGCTGGGGCAGCTCCACCGGGCATGGTCACCTGGAGCTGGGGATTGGCCGCGCCTGCCCAGTTGGGGAGGAAAGTTCTAGCATCCTTGTGGGCCCTTGGGCGAGTGCCCCATGGCTGCCACAGCAGCCTCCCCTCTCCCCTTGGAAGCTCCACTTTGGGAGACTCTGCTGGAGTCCACACCTCCCGGGGGTCTCCCCTCCCCCTTCCCTCCCCCCTCCCTCCTCCTCCCCCTTCCTCTCCCCTCCCTCCCCCCTCCCCCAATCTGCCGTGTGCAGGCCGGCTTCTAAACTTCAACAGGGAGCCGCATGCTAATCAGGCGGCAAGCCAGGCTGCAGAATATTTAATGACAAAAAGATGTTATTGCCATATTGCCGCATGGGGGAGAAGTGGGGTGTGAAATGGGGTGTGTACCCCGCTCCCACCCCCCCCATCAGCACACGCACACACCTGCTTCAGCCGTGCCTAACACAGCCACTCGGAGCAAGGCACAGCGCTTATTTTCCTCCTGCCTCTGTGTGTGTGTGTGTGTGTGATTCCTCTGTTTCTGGGAAACGGGCATCCATTCTGGAATCACACTTCCCCCTCAAAGACCCCATCAAATATGCTGATAACTGAAATGAGATCTGCTAAGAACATTATTTGAAGGATGAGGACCGGCTCTGGCCCCCGAAGCTATTTTGGAAGTGAAGGAGCATTGGCTGTTTTCTTACTTAGAACTGCTATCTGTGGAGTTTTGTTTCCTGCTTGAACTTTGGGCTCAAGGTTTTGTAGATGGCATGAAGGGAGAGCAGGGGCACACTGTCACCTGTGGCCGTGGGCTGGAGGCGGACTCACAGTGCGCTGGGAGGGGCGGGCCTCAGGCTCAGACCCCCAGGTGGCCTGGGCGGGGTGGCGGAGGGGGTTTTCAAGAGTGGGTGTTTGCAGACCCCAGTCAGATGACCTGTGCAGAGAACCTGTGTGAGGAGTGTGCTGCGGTGCAGAACTCGTGGATTTGCAGACCCAGCGGTCACCTGCCACCTCCTGGCTGTGTGGGGCCTCTCTCTGGAGACCGGAGGGGAAGGAAACCTTGTCTGTCTGCTGTGTGCCCTTGGGGACACTGCTTAGCCTTGCTGAGAGGGGGGCTTGTCACAGATAAGCAGTGGAGGGCATGCGCTTAGTACGCATTTAGCATGTGCAAGGCTCTGGGTTCCAGTCCAGCACCACCCATAGGAAGGGCCCAGCCCTGCAGCAGGCTGACCCCTGGAGGTGGTGGGGGCCCCGGGAGGCTGTGGGCGGGCAGCTGTGGCCAGGCCCCTCAAGTACACAGCCATAGTACCTCCTGCAACCTGGCAGAGGACGGCAGGTCTTCGGGAGGTGATGGGCGGGATTTCCCAAGTCCAGAACTGCCACCATGTGCGGAGGCCAGCCTCCTGGCCTCCCTTCTGCTGGAACTGTGTGACAAAGTAGCCACCCCTCCTCCTCCCATCCTTCCCCCTCCCCTGCCCCCCCCTACATCCCACCAGCCATCACAGGACAAAGGCTGGAGCCCACAATAGGTTTCCTGGCAGGCTTTTATTATAAAGAAGGTTCCAGAGAGTTCCAGCCCTCCCGTCCAGCTCCCTTGGGTCTGGCCAGGCCTGCAGCAAGGAGCCTGGTGAACCCGTCGGCGTTTTCCGGGCCTGCCATCCGCGGCGCGGTCCTTTCCAGTGTTGCCGGGAGCCCTGGGGCCGGCCGGCTCCTCTGCACAAGCGGCAGCAATTCACAGTTGGCGCGTGGCGTGAGTTTGTTTTTTAATATATAAAAGCTTTTTTTAAAAAAACAAAACAAAAAAACAAAACCCCCCAAAGTGGTGCTATCTTTAGAAACATTTCCAGAAAGATCAAGTAGCCTGGCTACAGCGTGGTGCCGCCCAGCCTCCCCCCCCTCCCCGGGCACCAGCAGCCCCGCGTCCCCTTCTTCTGCCCCTCCCTGCGGGCAGCGGGCACTGCCGCCTCTGCCAGCGGCCCCCGGAGCCACGCAGACCCATCCCTGCTTGGCACGGTCTGTGGGCAGGTCGCAGAGCGTGTTGGTGGACCGAGGCCCCACCAGGATGGGTGAGGTAGCGAGTCTGGACGGTGGCCTCTTCTCCTGTGGTGGAGCCTGGCTCTCGGCCAGGCCAAGCCACTGAAAAGGGGCAGTGGCGGCCGGGCTGAAGGCCCCCGTCCCAGTGCCAGGCCTGAGGTGGGCAGAGGGGCAGCGTGGGTGCGGCCAGCACCTCCTTCCGGCTCAGCGGCCTGCAGCTGAGTTGTGGGCGGGGGCGGGGCGCAGGGCGGGGCCTCTGGCGCGGTGGCACGGCGCTTCCCTGCACTCAGGCCTCGCTGTAGCATTCGTAGATGTTGTTCTCCATCAGCGCCACCACCTGCTCGAATTTGTGCTGCAGCTGCGTCCTGCGGGCCGTGGGGTTGGCCTCCAGGGCCGCCATGATCTGAGAGGAGGTGGAGGGTCAGCGGGGCTGTGGCCGCAGGGCGTGGCCAGCTCCCCCTCCGTCTGGGGAGAGGCCAACTAGCCACCGGCCGCCTGTGCCCTCCTGAGCAGCACGCAGGGCAGGGCAGCCTCACCTGGGGGCGATACCTCTTGGCATATTTGTAGATCTCTGCCACGGCCACGTTGGTGTTGAACTCGTTCTGGTATTTCTACGGGGGAGGGGGGAGGGGGGAGAGAGGAGGGCTGTCAGTCACGCGATCCAGGCCCCGTCTGCTCCTAGCACCCGCAGCTCCCACCAGCAGGGGCAGTGATGGCACCCGAGGGGGGGGTGCCCCCAGCTCTGTCCTGTTGAGGCAGCAAGCCAAGCATCCCAGCCTCGCCAGCCCTCTGAGTGGCCCACCCTGGACTCCTCGGCCAGGTGGGCGTTCATCTCCTGCTCGCTGAGGGGCGTCATGTCCTGGATCTGCTTGTAGTAGCGCTGCACGATCTTGCGGTACTCAGGGATCTCCTTGGCATACAGGAGCTTGTTGGTGGGCGAGTCCTGCACAGTGAGACAGGCTGGCGTCACCTTCCTCCGGCCAGGCAGGTGCCTGGAGCCTGGCCGTGCTCGCCCGGGCCTCCTCAGGCCCTGCCCCCGCAGCCACGGCACACCTTGCCCAGCTGCAGGTCAGAGATGGAGCAGGCGTCGATGAAGGCCTGGGCAATGACCGAGAGGCAGGCGTCTATGTGGTCCGTCTTCTCGATGTCAAAGACGAACTGGGGGTTTTTCAGGATGTTCACCCAGAAACGGAGAGGCAGGCTGCGGGGTGGGGGTGGGGGGCGACAGGGCCACGTGAGCCAGCAGAGGCGGGCAGGGCACGAGCGTCTGGCAGGGATTGTGCTGGCTCTGCCGTGAGGCCCCACCAAAATGGAGCCTTGGGGGGCTGTGCACACACAGGGTGGCGGCTGAGGGCCCAGGCCAAGCTGGCCCACCGCAGCCCTCTCCCTCCCTGCTCCCCCTCAGCTCCCCCAGGAGGCCCCAGCCGGGTCTGGTGAGCATTAGAAGCCCCCACCCTGCTGCCCACAGCCCATGCCCGCCCACAGCTCCTCCCCCCAGCCTCGCACGCAGCAGGCAGTCCAGAGCAGAGAGGCAGGCCTAGGGGTGGCCTGGAGGAGGTGGGACAGTCCCCAGCCCAGAGCCACCCAGACATTGGAGCAAAGGGGTCTCCAGAGCGCCGAGGAGCTTCTGCAACTGCTCAGAAACTGCTCAGAGGTGGTGCTGTGTATGTACAAGGGTGTGTGGCCACGGCTAAACCAAGCTAAGGCTCAGGGAGCTAGGAAGTGGGCATGGACTGCAGATCAGGCAGGGCGGCGTCCAGCCTGGCTCTGTCATTCCCAAGTGTCCACCAAGGAGGCAGAAAGAAAGCAGGGGTTTTAGTGTCCTGGTTTTACTGCAGGGGAAACTGAGGCCAAGAGAGGCCTCACAGCTGGGAAAGGCTGGAGGAGCAGAAGCCAGGCTCTGCCCCAGCCCGCGGTGCCAGGCGCGGGCCCCTCTGCGCCCCCACCCATCTCCACCTGTTGGTCTTCCAGATGTGCAGTGTGTCTGGGTCTGAGATCCCCCTCCTCTCCGCCTGCTCCTCCAGGAAGTCGAAGAAGTACTTCACAGCCAGAGGGGGCTTGTCTTCCCGGATGCTCAGGATGGCCTTGAACAGGTCATCCAGAAACTTCTGCAGCGTGCCCTGTGGAGAGCAGTGGCCAGTGTGGGCCAGGGCTGCTGGGGAGAGGGGGCAAGGGGCAGCGGCGGCCTCTGTGGTGTCAGGGAGACCCCTTGTACTTGGGTCCAAAGCACTCAGGCTAGGGGCTCAGCTGGGAATCGCTGGGGCCAGAGTGAGGCTGGGCAGGGGACACCTAGGCTGGGCCCACCTTGGTGGACAGCAGGCGGGTCAGGTAGATCTCCGGGAGCACCTTCTTGCGGTGGCTCTGGCGGTGGGACTTTTTGGGCTCTGCCAGTTCGTCCGTGGGCAGCACCTGGGAGGCCCGACAGGGTCGGTGCTGTGGCATCCGCAGCCTCCGCGGAGGTCTGTCCCGCGCTCGGGGCCCAGCCCTGCCCACGCGTCCCAATGCACAGGCTGGGGCTCCGGCAGGATTCCATGGGCTCCTTCACCCGGCCTTTCCCAGGGCCTGGGAGCGCTCTCCCGGAGGCCCAGGGCGGCAGAGAGCCAAGGCCACACCCCGAGAGGGGCCAGGTCCCCAGGGCCCAAGGCTGGGCACTCACCAAATGGAAATACTTCTCCGTGTCCAAGTCTTTCACTGCGAGAGGAAAAACACAATAAATAAACAAGAAAGAAGACGGGGGGAAGAAGAGAGCTGCAGAGAGGAGACCAAGCACGGCTGAGACAAAGACTCCGCCACAGACAGGGGAGCGACCAGAAAAGCAGCAGAAGCTACCGCCGTGCAGGAAGAGGCCTCGGGAGGGGCCGGGCCAGCCACCGTCCTCACCCATGAGCCCCACCAGCCCAGACCACAGGGGCTGCCGGGGGGCAGCCAACACCCCACTCTCAATCTCATGAGGGACCCTGAGACCCAAAGTGCCCCCTGCCTGCCTGCAGCACAGCTGGGCCTGAGAGGGCAGCAGGGGCAGGCCGAGGCCGCCCCGCCCCCTCCCCGCTGCCCGGCAGCTGCTGGGGCTTCTTGGAAGCACATCCCGCCCTCCTCCTCCTCCTCCTCCTCCTCCTCCTCCTCCAGCTGCCCACGGGGCAGCAAGGGAGAAAGGCGGCCGTGGCTCCTCCCGTGGCCATGGAGGGAGCGAGGGTCTGAGAGCCGGCCTTGGCTCTCCGGGCCCTACCTCTGCCCAGGGTGGTGTCCTTCTTGTCCGTGAGGCTCATGGCCAGGGAGGCTCCTTCCGGGATCTGAGGTTGGGAGGGAGGGAGAAGCCAGGGTGAGACGCTGGGGGGGTGGGAGGGGCTGGGGAGGGGGGAAAAGCCAGGGGTGGGGGGGGAGGCGGGGGGTGGGGAGGCCGAGGGTGGAGGGGAGGCGGGGGGGGGGGTGGGTGGGCAGAGGGTGGCACCTTGTAGTGGGCCAGCGTGTTCAGCTTCTTACGCCCATCCTCCACAACCGACGTGTCGTCCAGGTCCCGCAGGATGTAGCTCTGAGTGCTGGAGGCAAACCACTCTAGGGGAGGGGGGGGCAGTCAGGACAGAGGGGGCCTCTCCCTGTGGAGTCTGCAGTGGGGGGCAGCGGGGCTGTCAATGGCACAATCACCAGTCTCTACCCACCAACCCTGGGGATAAATGAAAACCTGAGCACCCAGCGCTGGGTAGCGAAGCCTGGGCCCGACCTCCTTCCGCCCCATCCCTCCTGCCCTCACAGCAGGCCCTGTCTCCCATGGCCCCAGAGCCCTCCCACACGCCATGCCTGCCCGCCCTGCCCACCGAGGTCCACGTCCTCCGCCCGGGGCCACTGGGAGTAGGGCACGTTCTTGCAGAAGGCCTCCAGGATCTTCTCCTTCACCTGTGTCAGCGTGTCTGTGTCCATGGCCCGCACGCTCAGCGAGTCCATGCCACAGCCCTGGAAGGACACATTCAGGTTCTGCACGAGAGAGAGCAGATGGGAGTCAGCGCGTGCCACTACCCGCCCCCCCAGCTTGGGGACCAGGCTGGTGGCTTGGTCTAGATCGGAGGCCAGGACCGCTGGGCAGCAACACTCTCTGGCCGCCCGGGGAATGGCCCCACCCCTCACGGACCCATTTCCCCAAAGGGTCTCGACCCCGCCCACTGCCAGGCCTTGGCCTCCAATGGTCCTGCCGCTCACAGGGGAGGGGCGGGCAGGGGTGCTGCTGCTCACCCGGGGCTTGGCCTCTATGTTCTCCCGCAGCAGCCACTCCTCGTTGAGTGTGTAGCGGGCCTTGCCGGTGATGGCGTCGATGGAGCCCTTGTTGATCTGCTGCTTGATGGCGCACAGCAGCAGGAAGAAGGGCTCTCCCACCGTCTCCTGTGAGGACTGGCAGTCAGGCCAAGGCCACCCTTCACCCCCAGGCCACCCGGCAGCTTTCCACTGAGTCGGGGGTCACACAGCAGAGGCTGCGAGCGACCCGCACCGCAGGTAACGCCAACCTTGCACGCTGGTTCCCGCTCCCGCCTCTGGGCTTCACCAACCACACCCAGAGTGGCCCACAGCCTTGAACGACTTCCAGGTCACCACTGCACTGCCAGTGACCCCCCGCGGGTCCATTTATGTCAGGCGGTGAGGTAAAGGGACAGGAGATACGAAGGAAGATCCCAAACACAATAGTGGCAGGCAGATTTGGCAAAGATAGGAAGGCAGCCTGCCAGCCTCGTCCCTGACCCAGTTTCCAGATCTGGCAGCGGACGCCACTGACGTCCTGCTTTCTAGAAGATGGGGCCAGGCTCAGGGAGGACAGCCTGGCTGAGGCCACAAGAAGTCGCCACAGGAGCAGCGGCCAAGCCCAGTGTGGCAAGCGTAGCCCCTGATGAGAAAGAGGCGGCCGCCAGCGGGCCAGGCGCCCGGGGAGCTCTCCCCGGCGGCTCCTCCCTCCCTGCTTCCCCAAGAGGCCAGAGGACCCCACATGTGCAGAAGGAGACCCGGAGCAGAGAGGGCTGCCCAGCCCAGGGCCTCAGAGCCCAGACTGAAATCTAGGCCGTTTTAGGCCCTGGTCTCTAGCCAGGCTTTTGTCTTTCTCCAGTATCACGGGTGGCCGTTTAGCCTCTGCCACCACAGGGCAGCTGACATAGAGAAGCACACGGGCTGAACAACACGGTGCGGTGGACCACCTCCGCCAGGACCCCCGGCCTCCGGCCAGCTTCCCACAGCACCTCTGTGCATGTCCTCCCCTCCCTCCTTTGCCCAGGTAGACCAGTGACACACACGCACACACACACACACACGCGTGCGCCCGTGCACACCGTGGCTCACTCCCCGAGCCCTCAGGCTCAGTGTGGGGCCCCTGCTCCCCAGCCAGTCAGCAGCCTCTGGGGGGTGGGCACTGTCTCCATATCTCATTCTCTCCCGAGGCTGGGAGGTCTTCAAGGACTCGGCTGGGATCCCATTTACCCCCCAGATCCACAGCCTTGGCCCCAAGACGCACTAGAGAGGGCTGTGCGGCTGATAAACAACCATCTGGACCAAAGCCACTCCCAGCCCCCGTCCATCCCACGCTGGCCAGCTGGGCCCGGCCCCTCACCCGCAGGCAGCTGTACATGCAGATGGACATCCAGTTGGTGAGCATCTTCTCCACCACCGACTCGGTGCGCCGCAGCATGAGCTTGGGGTTCTTGGAGGCCGAGGCGTCGATGAGATCCACCAGCAGCTCCTTCATGATGCCCGTGTAGTACTCCAGCTTGCCGTGCAGCGCGATGGTCAGCAGGGAGGCCAAGCTGCACCTGTGGCCCCGGGCGGTCAGCACAGCTGCCCGCCGCTGGCCTCGTGCACCCCGGGAGGAATGGCCAGGCCAGGGGAGGCGACTGTCACCCGGCTGAGGGGCTGGGACAGCCCTCTGTTCCCCCAGGGACCCCGCAGTCTGACCTGTCTCGCACTGCAAAGTCCTTCTGCTGCTCCAGCGCGTGGATGAAGATGATGAGGAAGTGCTTGTTGCTGATGAGTGAGGAGAACAGGCTGGCGCCCTCCTCCATGCTGGGCCGGCGGTCCTCGGGGACCTGCCGAGAGCTGGCGTGTGAGTGTCGGGCAGGGCCGGGCCCAGCACCCCGGGTGGCTGCCCGATGCCCCCTGCTCCCCTCAGGCACAGGACTGGACGGGGAGAGGCCCGGCAGCACTCACCTTCCACTCCCCCAGCAGCGGGTGGGTCTCGGGGGTGGGGGAGCCGCCCGGGGAGCCGGGGGTCTGGGAGGGCAGCACGTAACGCTCTTCGTAAAGGGAGGAGCACTGTGGGGTGGAGCCAGCACCCCAGGGTCACTCGACATACAGAACAAGGCACCAACAGGGCTGCGCTACACAGGGCAGGCAGATGCCCCCCAACACTCCCGGGAGGAGGCCCACACGGAGGAAGCAGCATGGACCAGGGTTGCACCGCAAGAAGGCACAAGACTGAGAAGGAAACTGAGGCAGGGGATATTGTGGGGATTGCAGCTGCAGGCGTCTCTGCGTGAGTGTGGCCACACTCCCAGGAACCCCAAGGACAGAGCTGGGGAGGGACCTGGCCACCATCACAAAAGCCCAACAGGCAGGCAGACGGGGTGGGGAGGCCGGCCAGCCGCCCTGCCCTCTTGGTGGGGACAGTAGGTCCCACAGAGCGTGGCGGGGGGAGCAGGGGGAAGGGGGGGCGGCTGGCTTCACTGCAGACAGGCATCAGGTGAACGGAGAAGGAAAATGGGGGGGATGGGGAGAAGCGTCACCCCTCTTCCTTGGCAGGACAGCTCTGGAGGAGCACAGGTTCTGCCCTGCCCCAGGGCGGCCCCGTGAGGGAGATGCGAGGGATCGGGGCTGACCTTGGGGAAGAAGGTGCGGGTCACGAAGTGCCTGTACTCCAGGAAGGGGATGCCCTGGCTGCGGTTCAGCTCCTTGGTCAGGTCCGTCATGTCCGTCTGCAGCTCGGCAAAGCCTGGACAGGCAGGTGACCACCTCAAGTCCTGCTCCAGACGGGAGAGGCCAGGCACACCCACCCCGTGCCCGGCCTGCCCGGTACCTTTGCGGATTTCCTCTCGGATCTGAGACTCCATTTCCTCCATCTGAAGCAGCGTCTTCTGCCAGTAGCGCTCAGCGCGCCGGCTCTTGGTGCAAAAGACAAACAGGGCTGTGGGCAGCAGAGAGGCAGCTCAGACCTCCGGAACCCTCCAGAAAGCCTCTGTTGAGGCCTGCTGGGCCAGGGCCTGGGCTCCGGCTCCAGAGTACGAGGTAGATAGCTGTCCTTGGCCCTCCTGCTCCGACAGGCCCGGGACACCGGACCGGCCAGCAGCACACGCCCCATGTCCCCTTAGGAAGACACATGGCGTGTAGTGGTTAGCAGTAGTTTTCTCTTGAAACAATTAGGGTGGTTTGTTTTCTTCCTGCTTTCTAGCACTTTCCATTCCTCTCTCAATGGCCCTGTGTTGCCTATGGATTAAGAAACTAAAAAGTGAGCGTCATTACAATGCTGCTGTAGGACAAGGGAGGGTATCTGATCTGTATGGACAGCTAGAAAATGCGGAAAGCATGTGGGTACGGCGGTATGTTCTGCCCTGTTACCCTTCGATAACTGCCTTTTTTTTTTTTGCCTGTACTGGGACTTGAATGCTAGGCCTGCTCATTGAGCTCCTTTTTGTTCAAGGCTAGCACTCTACCACTTGAGCTACAGCACCACTTCTGGCTTTTTCTGTGATTAATTGGAGATAAGAAGCCACGGACTTTCCTGCCCCAGCTGGCTTTGAACCACGATCCTCAGATGTCAGCCTCCTGAGTAGCTAGGAGCCCCAGTGCCCAGCTTCCTACTACTTTTTAAAACTCAGGATCTTCAGCTTGCTGTGCAGGAGCTCTCCCAGTAGAGCCATGCCCCCAGTCCTTTCTCCAAATTTTATCATTGGATATAGTCACTAAAAAGCTAAGCCTCAGGCAAACACCAGTGGCTCACACCTATAATCTTACCCAGGAGGCTGAGATCTGAGGATTACAGTTTGAAGCCAACATGGGAAGAAAAGTCTGTGAGACTTTTTATCTCCATTTAATCACCAAATTAAATAAAGCTGGAAGTGGAGCTGTGGCTCAAGTCGTAAAGGACTAGCCTTGAACACAAAAGCTCAGGGACAGTGTCCAGGCCCTGAGTTCAAGCCTCAGGTCCAATACACATGCGCATGCACACACACATACACACACAGAGCCTTATTGGACTACAGTGCATGTACGCTATAATTCACCATGTAGACAGCCCAGTGGATTTGAGTGTAGTCACTCTTTGAGGTCATGAGTACGTCTCACCTGACAACACTGTTGCTATCCCAAGAAGACCCATACCCATTAAGCTCCCTCACCCAGGTACCCACTAAACTATGTCTGAATTTCCTACTCTAGCTACTTTGTTTAAAATCAGTAAATCTGTGGTCCTTTCTGTCTGCTTCCCTCCCCGCCACCCGCCCTCCACTGATCAGGTTTTCAAGGCCCATTTATTTCTGGCGTGAGTCAGTAAAGAACAGTAAACCGTTCTTTTCTTTGTTTATGGCTGAATAATATTCCGCTGTCTGGATGGACCATGTTTTACTTATCCTTTTATCAGTCGATAGCCATTTGAGTTGTTCTGCCCTCTTGTCTATTATAAACAATGGCACTGTCAACATTTGTGCACAAGATTCTGTGTGGATGCATGTTTTCCTTTCTCAGGCAGATTCTCAGGAGTGGAATTTCTGGGCCATATGGCAACTCTATAATTAGCATTGTGAAGAACAGCCAAACTGTTTCCAAAGCAAGCACACCTTCCTACATCACCCCCAGCCGAGAGAGGCTTGCTTTCTCTGCCATGTCTAGTATGATACTTTTGTAGCCATATTTGAACACCTAGGCTCGTTTCCGGAGTGAACTGGAGAATAAGATCCTCGTCCCTGGCCTGGCATTCGGGATCCATGGCCTGGACCCGGGCCTGGGCCCAGCCCCTTCACAACTTCCACGCCTCCGGCCCCGTGGTGCGGCGGGCAACTTACCCACGACGGAGAGCAGCAGCAGGATGCTGCAGACGACGATGGAGACGATGATGGCCGTCTCGCTACCTCCCAGCTGCAGCGTGGCGATGGTCTGGTTGAAGTTTCCCACCTGGATCTGGGCAGAGGTGGGAAGGGGCTGTGACTTTCTGGAAGGATGCTCTTCTCGCTGGCTGTGGGGCCCTTGGGTCACCTGACCCCTCTGGGCTTCCTCCTGAGGACCCTGAGCGCATAGTGAGGTGATGCCTGTCTACTGTCATGCCCGGGCCTGGCCCAGACACAGGCTGTGAAGATGCGCTGGCTGGGGGGGGAGGCGGGCGGAGGGCAGCCCACAGGACCCGGCTGCTGTCCTGGAGGACCCGCAGCGCTGCCCTAGGGCTAGGGCCGAGCGAGGGTGGCAGTCGGAGCTGAGGATGGTGCACACGCAGAGAAGGAAGGGAGCTCCCGTTCCGGGGGGGGGAGAGAAGGGCAGGCAAGGCACCATGGCCGGAGCCTCATCGGCTCATTAAGAACCACAGCAGCAGCTTCCGTGGCTGAGGAAGCCCAGGCCCTCATAAGGGTCCAGAGGGCTCCAGTCACAGACCCTGAACGGTAACTCAGTTCCGAGGGACTCAGTTTCCCTGTCTGTCAAATGGGGGTGTGAGGCTCTGCCAACCCAAGCCACTGAAGGGGAAGGTGCTGAGTGAGGCGCACGCGGCCGGACGAGGGCTGCCGCGGTGCACTCACCGTGATGGGCAGCTGCCCCTCGGCCGCACCCAGGGACTCGTTGACAGAGCAGTGGATCACCCTGTCCGAGACGATCTGGATGTCGCAGGCCGCCTGGCCGATCTTGACCAGGTACTCGTGACTCTCGAGCCCCAGACTGTCCTGCTCCTTCTGCAGGCGTGGGGGAGAGCGTCACCAGGGCCGGCGTGGGGCCTGGCCCGCCCCCGGCCCCCGGCCGGAGCCCCCTGCGCTCACGTGGATGACGAGGGTGAGAGGCTCCCCCGGGTGGTGCTTGATCCACCGCTCCCGCTTGGCGGTGGAGAACTGGGGGTTGGGGAGGTAATCCAGCCGGAAGTGGCCGCCCCGCCGTCCCCGGGCCGGGTCCAGCAGCTCCTCCGCCAGGGCCGCCTCGTCCACGTAGGCCTGCCCGTTGATGAAGAAGTCCACGGGCGCCGAGGCGTTGCTCAGGGCCCCCGGCGACGGGCAGGTGATCAGAGTGGCGTTGAGGACCTTGCACAGCTGGTACGGGATGTAGGACAGACCGATGGACATGGAGAAATGGGGGAAGGGTGGGATGAGAAGGAGGAGCAGAGATAGGCAAGGTGCAGCAGGAGGCGGTTCGGTCATTCAGGGCACCGGCTGCCCCAGACCCCACCCCACCTGGGCCCCGTGGCCCTCACCGTGGGCTCGCGGCCGATGTGGTGGACAGCCATGGACACGTTCTGTACCATGTGGAAACGCTCGCCGGCTACGGTGATGGTCCTGCCGCCGCTGCAGGGACAGCAGGACCGTCAGCCCGCCGCGGCCCCGGGGAGCAAGGCCAAGCCTGGGGGGGGGGGGGCGGCTCACCTGACGGGGCTGCGGCGGGGGCTGATGGAGATGATCACGGGGTTCTGCATGTACTGGAAGGTGAGGTTGCCGAGCAGGCAGCCCCGGCGCTCCATGCGCACGCACACGGGCACGGGCACGGGCGCGGCGCCTCCGGGCACCGTGCAGGTAATGCTGCTCTCTGTGCGCCTGCGGGGCAGCGCGTGCATCAGTACAGCCCCTCCGCCCGCCCCGCTGCCACGCCCTCCCGCTCCCACAGAAGCCCGGCAGCGCCTGGACACGACAGCACCGACTTGTGGAGACCGGCCGTGCAGCTGCGCGGCACTGCTCCGTCCTCGCCAGCGCTGTGCAGGCCAGAGGGCTGAGACCAGGGAGGACCTCAGGCCGGCTGACGCTGGCGGTTCCCCACCTTGGGGTGGGGGCCTGGGGCTTACACGAGCTCCACGCAGGGGTCCGTGTCGTTCACCAGGACCTGCAGTTCGGAGCCCACGTGCAGATGGCTCCCTTGGATGGTGATCCTCGTGCCCCCAGCCTGGGGGCCCATGAAGGGCTCCACGGAGTGGACGGTGGGCAGCTGTGGGAGGAGAACAGGCAGCCAGACCTCAGCCAGCTGGAAGGCGAAAGGGGCGGGAGAGAGGAGTAGGTGGACAAGCTCTTACCACGTAGGAGAAGCGCTGTCTCGAGTGGCCCTCCTTGGAGGCGTTCACGCTCACCACCGACGAGAAGGCACCCGGGGCCGGCCCCGTGCGGCACACGATCCTGAGGCGGGCGGGCAGCAGCGCAGTCAGCGTGGGGCGCCACCGCCCCGCACCGCCCTGGCCCCTGGCTTGTAGCTGGGAGACGCACACTGGCACTGCCCGTGTGGACCAGCAAGCAATTCTCAGCGGGCAACAGCTCCCTAAGCTCCCGGGGGCCGTCCTGGGATGGCTAAACTCAGGCAGCACCCAGCCCTTGAGTTTCCACAGTCCAGCAGCTCTAGGTCAGGGGCTGGATCCTGAGGGTCTCGGCTGCCTGAGGCTCTGATCTCCTGCTGTGCAAGTCCAGCTCACCCTGCAGAATCTCCCACACCCCACCAGGGTACCCCCTAAAAACACTCTCAGAGCCGGGCACCGGTGGCTCACGCCTGTCATCCTAGCTACTCAGGAGGCTGAGGTCTAAGGATGGCAGGAACATCTGTGAGACTCTTATCTCCAATGAACCACCAAGAAACCAGGAGTGGCGCTGTGGCTCAAATGGTAGAGCGCTCGCCTTGAGCTGAAGAGCCGAGGGACAGCGCCCAGGCCCAGTTCAAGCCCCACGACCAACAACAACAACCGCCCCCCCCCAAACCCAAAACATTCTGAGTGGCAAATAAGTGTTGCCAAAGCAAAGCTCAGCTACAGAGTTGGGTTGAGGAGCACAGGGACTTCCTGGAGGAGGGGGCACAGAGTGGAAGGGCCTGGGCCGGGCAGGATGCAGGGGTGTGTGTGTGTGGCAACAGGGCACTGGGAGGAGCGGGGAGGGGGAGGACAGAGCTGGGCAGGCGGGACCCGCGCCGGCTGTCACTCACTCCTCTGACACCGTGTATCTGTCAGCCAGCGGCTCACATGCCACGCTGCCAATCCACACGCCGTGAGCCACGTCGCTAAGGCGCCGGCCCAAGTTCCTGCCGCGGATGGTCAGCAGGGTCCCGCCATCCAAGGGGCCACTCAGTGGCTCAATCTGCAGGGACCAAAGGGGCAAGCAGGGTTGGGAGGGTCGGTGGGGGCGGGCTGCGTGGTCACACACATGGGTGGGGGGCTGGCCACCCGATCCTCTGCCCAGACGGGGGTGGGCGCAGCCGCCCATAAGGACACGTGTGTGTGCCTAGGGACGGCCCCTGGGGCTGGGGTACCTCCTAGGGAGTTTCTTGGGAGACACAGAAGTCAGCTCCCAATGGCCAAGTCTAACCGCAGGATCCTGAATCCCAGGTAGAAGCTGATTGGGGGATGGTTGGGCCTCTGACCTAAGCTAAGCCAATCAGAATCCTTTGCTGAGTTGAAAACTCAAAGCAGGGCTGGTGACTTAGTGGAGGCCTCAGTCCTCACTTGCCTGACCACAAGGACCCGTGACACCCGGCCGGGTTTCCCCGGGGCCTGCCCTGCCCCTTTCCTCCTGGCACGCGCCCCCGGCACGTCCAACTCCCTTCCTGATCCGTGCCATCTTCTTCCCACCAACACGGCAGCCCCAGGAGGCAGGCGTCTGCTGGGACCCCGGCCGTGCCCCGTCCACGGCCTTGGGCTGGGTCTCGAGGGGTGTGGGTGGCGAGGGCCAGGCCCTGCGGCTTACCAGGCGGATCTCGGGGGCCGGGCAGGTGCCAGGGGGCGGCTGCAGGGGGCCCCGCGGGCGGCAGCCCTCGCTCCACACACACAGGTGGCCCAGGTCCTCGCGGCCCAGGCACTGGGAACAGTCGGGGCTGCCCACCGCACAGTTGTAGACCTCAACTGAGGAGACACAGGCAGTATGGTTGCAGGGGACGGGCGGGTCTTCGTAGTTCCCAGGGCCTTCTCCTGTCCCTGGTTTGTGTTGACCTCCGTGGGCCTACAGCCTCATTAGGGGCTCCTGTGTGCTGGGAGCTATCAACCAGCACCAGGCCACAGAGGCTCAGAGGAGAAGAAATCTGTTTGAGCACTCACAATGGGGAGCTGTGTGCAGGGGTGAGACAGTTTTGGGGCCTCCCTACTGCCTTCGTGATGGTATACAGAGAGGCCTTGAGATTCCCCCCATACTCAGAAAAGCTCGGGAGAGTTGGCTCAACATATATAAGCCTGGTCATAGTGCCAGCCACCCCTTGGGGATGCCACCTCTGCCAGGGCACTGCTGACAGGCTTGGTGAGCCTCCCTTTGTAAGAGACAGAGGGGTTCAGAGAGGACAAGCAAGATGCCCAACGCCGCACAGCTACTGGGGGCACATCCCGAGCCTCTGCAGGGACGCTGCATGTGCGGGGGAATCGGGGAACAGCGGGGAGGGGCACTTGGGGCTTCATGGTGCCTGAACCAGGCCCGCTTTCCTCTGGCCATGTACATGTGGGGGAGGGGGAGAAGGGGAACCCACCTGTCATGGGGTCAGGGCTGTCCAGAAACTGGGCAGGTCGGCCCTTCAGCTGGAGGCTGAGGACAAACACCTGGCTCTTCTGTGTCGTGTGCAGCTGCAGAAGGAGGAGAAGGTGAGGGCGGGGTGGGGTCTGGTCTGTGGAAGGAGGGGCGCCACACTGGGCTGGGAGGGCTGGGGGTAAGGAAGCATCAGAACCCACAGAGCCGCCCCCCACCCACGGCCAGGCCCTCACCACTCACCACGACTTGGTTGCAACTGACAACTGACTCGTTCACCCACGCGGCCTCGAAGCTCTCCTCCAGCCCGAAGCTGCACTCCAGGGCGGTACCCTGGGGACACAGGGACAGAGGGGGCTGAGAAGAGCCACACTGACTCCTCTCCCCTCCTCTCCCCCTACCTCGTCAGGCCAGCTCCTGGGCTGACCGTGGGGCCCAGTGTGGGGGAGGCAGGGAGGCACAAACACCAGGCCTCGTGCCCTGATGCTGAAGGCTGCCCCTACCCAGAGCCTACAGCTGGGGCCTCTGGCTCAGCCCAGAGGCTCAGCTCCCAGAGACACAGGCCCTCTGGACTTCACTACCCATTCCCGGCTACAGGCTCCAGACACTTGTCCTCCCTCTCCCCGCAATGGCCTCTCCAAGCTGGGCCTCTGCTCCAGCCTATGCCTCCTGGGCAGCTGGCATCTCTTCTGCCATCAACAAGACTAAGGGCAGCCTCGAGCTCCAGCCCTGGCATCTCTGCTCCCAAAGGTGCATGCGTGCATGCATGTGTACGTGTGTGTGTGTGTGTGTGTGTGTAAGTGTAGGGGGGGGGGGCTCTCCTCCCCGCCAGCCCTGTCTCTTCACCCACTGGGGAGAGGCGGGCACTGAGCCCTGGCCTGCAGGCACCATGGACAGCCAAGGGCTCAGCTTCTACCTCACAGCGTCAGAGGTTCAAATCCCTTCACTTCCTAGCTGTGTGACCTCACGCACACCGCCCCCGCTCTCTGAGCCTCACTCTCGGACCTGTGTGATAGGAACGGGCTCCCTCAGCCTGCGGGGCTGCCAGGAAGGCTGGAGAGCGTGCACGTTAGGGGTCTGCACTCTAGGCACCCCGTCCTGCTGGGGTGGGCGTGCGGGTGCTGCTCGCGTGTCTGGGACAGCAGTGGTCAGGGTCCGTTGCTGGGCTGAGCCCCGCTCTCTCCAGAGCGGCATCAGCACTGAGGGAACCAACTCGGGTTCTTCAGAAGTCTGTCACTGGTACAGGGACACTCGGATAACCAAGCAACGCCAGCCTCCCCTTTCTTTCTGGGGTGCCAGCATAGGAGCAGATGCAGGAAAGCGGTAGCTGACAGGTCAAGGGCCATTTTGTCCCAGCCGGGCTGAGCTGCAGCTGGGTGCATGCGCTAGGGCTGCCAGGGTGGAGACTCAGAACACCGCCCCAGGGTCCTAGAAGCAGGGGGTGGCGGGAGGCTGGTGACAGAGGAGAGGAGAGGGGATTTCTGTGGCTGATGACAGCAGAGACCTCCAGTTAACACAGTTAGGATCTGCTAGGGCCAGATCAGGGCTGGGACCTCCAGACCTGGGGCTCTGGGATGCAGGCAGGCGGATCCACCCTTCCCACTCACCCCTGCTCGGTCTCCAGCCTGTGCAGGGCGGAGCCTCTGGTGGAGGGGGAAAGGCAGCCCCACCTTGGCCCTCACAGAACCTTTCTGATGCATCCCAGATGCCTGGCACGTGGCCCCCGCGTGATAATCGTCACGGGCCTCAGTTCCCGTGACAGTGACAGATGCATGTCCCCGGGGCTAGCACCTCTCCAGGGCTCAGCGCTGCTTCCTCCCAGGAGGGACCTGGAGGGCCGTGTCTCCTCCCCAAGTATAGACAAGGCAGCTGGACGCCAGGAGCCCAAGGGCTGGCCTTGCTTTCCTCTGCACACGGGGAACTGGGGACAAAGGCTTCTCCACGGTCCTCCAGGGCAGATGCAGGGGACACGAACCAGCCAGCGGCCTCCACCCGGCGGCCACATCCAGTGTCTCAGGGGGGATGGGACGGGCAGAGCAATGTTTGGAGCTCGTTTCCATGGCCTGTGGTGCCAGCTAGGGGCGGGGCCCATCCTGCCCGGGGACCTGCGGGGTCCCCTGGGGCTGGCCCGTCTCCCTTGGCTGCTGTCCCCTGCTTCCCTCCCCGCCCCACCCCACCCCGCTTCCATGCAGCCCGAGCAGAGCTTTTCCCAAATGGAACCAAAGGTGCAGGGGGGAGGGATGCAGAGCGCATGGGAGCGGGGGAGCCGCTGGACTTCACTGGGGACTGGGGACGGCTGCTGGCCCAGGCGGGCCCCGCTGCCCCACCCCCACCCCAGCTGGGCCTCTACTTACATGGAAGGCGGCAGCACTGGTCACGGGTACCAGGATGTCCCGGGAGCCGCCGGTGGGCACCGGTGCCAGAGACCTGGGCAGGATCTGGGGGCAGTCCTGGGGGCTCTACAGAGAGGCAGGAGATGGGGTCACGGGTCATTTCTGAGGTGCTCCACAGTCCTGGGGTCTCAGGCAGCCTGGCAGTGCCAAAATCCAACCTTCTGTCCACACAGCCTCACCCGACCTTCATGCCTGTCACAGGGTGGGCTTCAGTAGCCCTGCTCGATGGATAGAGAAACTGAGGCACAGAACCCCACCCAGTGGTAGAGCCCTGAGTGATGGCCCTGCTGAGCCTGGAGACCCCAGAGCGGCTGCACACACATCACACTACGGGGCGGACTGTGGTCCAGGGCCCTGCTCTGTCCATGACCGGAGAGAGAGATGAGGGCCAGGCCAGGCCAGGCCAGGAGGAACAGCGAGCCTGCATCCACCTGCCGCCACCCCCGCTGGCCAGCACCAGGACGGGTTGTGGAGGCCGCGCTGAGTCTTTCTCACCAAGCGGCGTCCCTGCTCGGCAGCTCACTGTGCACACCGGCACCGGCACCGGCCCTCTCCCGCAGGATGGGCTTGTTTGAGGGAAGGCCGCTGGCCGGTCAGCTCCGGTCCCCTGCAGAGGCTGGCTGTGCTCCATGCTGCTTGTGCGGAACGCCAGGGGACGTCAGGGCCCACAGCCGTGTTTCTAGTTCGTCTCTGACCGGCTGCCCGCGCCTCGTCAGGGCCGGCATCTCTGTCCTCTGCTTCCCCTACACTGCGGAGGTGGTCCCAGCAGGACAGCCGTGGCGGGGGGGGGGGGGATCCACCCATCTCACAGCTGCAACCCAGGGCTGTGAGCAACACTCTGCGGAGTGAGCCACGGCCACCTGAACTCTACTGTCCACCCCCGTCTGACCTGGCCCCTGGGGCTTCCCCGGCCCCAGGGCCACGGGACCTCAGCCCACCCAGGCCTCGGCCAGCCGCTCAGGTGTGGAGGGGACCCAGAGCAGCGCAGTGAGATGCAATACCAGGCCCCTGCACGCCGGACCAGAGAGGTGGCCGCCCAGCTTCCCAGGCCCCCCGCACACCGGACCAGAGAGGCGACCCCAGGCCCGGTGGGGGGGGGCGGGGGGACCAGGAGCTGGCCTGTGCCGCCGAAGCCATCTTGGCACCTAGAGTGCACGCCAGCCTGCCCAGGGCACCCTTCCAGTGAGGCCGGCAGGCCCCAAGGTATGACTGGAAGCCCCGGATCGGATCCGGCCGTTCCTGAAGGCCCCATCACCCTGCAGCTGGGTCATTAACACCCGGCCTGAAGCCCGTTGGGGCTGGAAAAGGTGACAGGCCTCTCTCGCTGGAAGCTGGGGCAGGTTGGGGCCTTGGCTCAGAAGCTGGGCGCGTTCAGGAGCAGGCGCGCAGGGAAGGGGGGACAGCAGGTGAGCTCCATCTAGGGTAACACCCAGTGGGGGCAGGGACAAACGGTGGGAAGCCCAGGCTGAGCTCTTGGGGCTCACACACGGAAGCATGAGGCCCGGGGTCCCGACCCCCGGAGCAAGGGTGGGTCCTGGGGTCACAGGACCTCAGACCTGCTGCCCCAGACCTGCTCAGCCCACAGCCCCACGGGCTCCTGCCACCAACCCGCCCTTCCTGGGCCCTTGGCTGCTGACGCTGGACCACCCGCACAGACTGGCCCACACCAGCTTCTGACTTGGGCCACCTCTATCTGCTCTCCTGGCTTCCTGTCACGTGGCCCTAGAACACGAAGACAGGGAGCCCACCTTCCCCACCCCGCCCACGGCCCCCCCCACCCCCCGTGCCTCCCCGCTCCTGAGGGGTCTGGGAAAGCAGCCCCTCGGCTGCTGTCTGCTCAGAAGAGCTGGCGCCTCCACAGCTAACTGGCACTTAATCAAATGCCAAATCAAGTATGGGGTCAGAGCTTCACACAGGCCCGGGGCGGAAGCTGCCTCGTCTCCTGCCAGATTAGAATAATCCTCTAAGACAGCCCCACTCGCACCCAACCCCGCTCCAGACTCGGAACGCCAGACTCAGGGAAGAGCAGGCTGAGGGCGGTCAAAAGGCAGCATCTCCCGGAGGGTGAACTCTTAGGTAGTTACCAAAACCCAACCCAGAAGGCCGCTCTCGAAAGACAGCTTCCCTGACCCCTCCATGAAGGGAGGGAAGAGCACAGGCAGAGAACACAGCGGAGCCTTTTATTGAGCACCTTCTATGTGCCATATGGAGCTGAAGCCTAGGGGAGGAACTGTGGATCTCACTCTAGCTCTGAGAGAGATCCCACTTTACAGATGGGAAAATACGCCCCAAGAGGTTCAGCTACAAGTGAAAGCTGAGGCTCAGGGTTTGCGAGCAAGAGGGCTGTACTAAGAGCTCTTCCCAGCACACAGAGGCCCTCGGTGGCGCTGAACTGCTGAGCGGCCGGGTCCCCCGGCCCCCCACGCCCAGGCTTTCTATTGTGTGTGCAGGCCCGGGCTGGGAAGAGGACATGCGATCCAGATGTGATCCCAAACGAGAGCCAGAGTCCCGGCCGGACCCCAGCTCCCCAGACCCGCGCCCCGGGCTGCGGTTTGGCGCCTCCCTGTGGTTTGGCCAAAAGCCTCCGGGGCCTCTCCCAGTGCCGGCACCCGCACCGATGCGCACCTCCGGGCCGCGCGAGGCCGCTGCCCGCTCTGCTCGAAGTAGGCCAGGGGTGAGAGGGGGTCAGGCCCAGAGCCCCGGGGCTTCTCCTCCACCCCTGCTGCTTGGCACCTGCTCCAAAGACAGCATGAGGAGCGTCTGGACAGGACGGGGCGCCTGGCGCAGGACCACTGGCAAGTGGGCGGGGCATCCCTCCCCAGCGTGGAGCCGGAGCTCGGGGACCCACAGCCCTGACGTAACAGACTCTGGGGGCCCAGCCCGGATAGGTCTACCGGAGCTCGTGGCCTTGCACCCCACCCGGCATGCCACCCACCTGGCAGCACCGCGCCACCCCTACGTTACAGAGCTCCAGCTGTCCCTGCCCGAGGTTGGGGAGAGACATATGGCTTTTGTTGTTTCATGGGCGTGCTGGAGATGGAACCCAGGGCCCGCTCGGTGTGAGGCAGCCACAGAGCCGGGCCCAGCCCGCCGTGCGCAGCACCAGTGATGAACGCTGCGCAGCGATCTCATCCCGACACCCTCGGTGGCAGGATGGGAAGTGCCCTGTCCAGCGCCCCGGGTCAGGGTGAAATCCAGCCCTCGGGTACAAGGCACAGGCGCAGCCCCTCACCAGGGACAGCCCAGCACCACCGGCCGCGGGGACACTCCCCCAGCTCCGTGTCTTTGCCAGAGGGATCTGGGTTCAAGGCCCAAGCTCAATAGCTGCCAGGTGGGGGGAATGAAGCAAAGCTCTTGGGGATGGCTGCCCTGCACAGCTAGGGAACCGAAGTACAAAAGGAAAACAAATAGGAGTGGCGGGCCAGACAACAACAGAGTTACAGCTGGAAGAAGAGGGCTACACGTTCACCCCGAATGTCACCGCTACGCTCGGGTGTTGGGGGGGAGCAATCAGAGATGCGGGCGGTGTCCTGGCTACTCGCGAAGCGGAAGCAGTGGGTGGGACCTGCTGTGTGGAGCCGACGTCAGAAGAAACACACACCCTCTCAGCTCTCACCGTTGCACAGAATCCAACAACAGGCAGACGCAGAGGAGGGCACCCCGGGGCAGCTTACCGTGGGGTTGGGTGAGGCCTCGCATCGAGACTGGTTGGAGACACAGGTGTGCTGCTGTGCACACCAGAAGCAGGGCCACGGTGCTGACAGGCAGCTGGTGCAGCTGGAAGATGAAAGGCCGTCAGAATCCCCTCCCCCTCCCAGCTCGCTCTGCCCTGGGATGGGGGGACAGGGGTGGGGGGGGACAGAAGGCCAGTGCCAGCCAAGGGGAGGGTCCTGCCCATCCCCAGAGCTGTTTGTTGGGAAGGTGTGCGAGGGAGAAAAGTGTCTCTGGCTCTGAGGGGCCGATCCGCTGTCAGCACCTTTTCCTCCCAGGTGTGTGCGGGAGACGGAAGGCAGCGCCCAGAGGGTGCAAAGGGACCGGCCCGCCCCGACTCACGCTTCCCGGGGCCGCACGTGTCCAATGCGGCTGCAGTCGTAGATGGTGAAGTTGGCCATGACGATGCTGCGCCCGTTGACCCTCAAGGCCATCTCCACGGTCACGTGATCTGGAATGGATGAGGGGAGGCACATGGGCGAGGAGGTCCCGACGGCCCCAGCTTTGACGTCAGGAGCCCCGCATTCTTCCTCCTGAGCCCCCGCCCCGCGCCCCACCCTATCCCGCTCACCTTGGGCGTCAGGGAAGGGCGGGAAGTGGGCCTGCGGTAGCAGGTTGCAGTAGGCCAGCTGGTGGTCATAGGCGGGGCCCGGAACCCGGGCCACCGTGCGGATGTCCCCTCCATAGTCACAGGCCATCTCCATGCCGCTGAGGCTGGGCAGGCCGCCCGAGATCTGCAGGATCATGCCCTGGGGGCAGAGCGCTCTCAGTGCACTGACCCTTACAGCTAGGCTCCCAGGGCTGAGGACCAACAGGACTCTGCCCTACCCCAGGAGTCCCCGGAGGGAAGTGAACTCAGCCCTGAAGGCTGGGATCTTCTCGGTGCCTCAGGGTCCCTCAGCCAGGACTGTCATTGCCTGCCCTGGTTCTCTTCCTCCTATACTGCTCCAACCGCCCTCCGGCCCTCCGAGAAGGCTGAAGCGTGAACACCGTGAACACCGGCCCTCCCGGTCCCTCAGCCCCTCTCTAAACTCCTCCCTTTTCCTCCACGCCTGTCGTCACCCTGACACTCCTGGCTTCTTCTGGCTCCCCTAGGAGCTTGTCAGTGCTGTCTTGCTCCTGATGCACACCCAGAGTTTACATACGGATGGTCACACTGCCGTGTGAATGGATGAGTGCGTGAACGAATGGAAACCCACCCCAGACTACGCAGGGGGAGGCAAGCTTAGAATCCTGTGGTAGAACATCTTGCGGGAGCGCACAGGGGCACACGCAGCTGCCGGGTGCCCGTTGGCCGCCCCCCTTTCCCCCAGGGGGTGGCGGGCGTGCACAGCGCTCACCGGGTACTCCTGACGCACGTTGATCTCCGCGGGCAGCACGGTCATGGAGGGGCAGCGGCCGGGGCCTTCACTGGCACTGGTCCAGAAATGGGGCTGGCTGGAGTTGGCGCAGTCCTGCTGCAGGGTGCACCTGCGGGTCCGGCACGGTCAGGCCCCGCGGCCCCGGCCACCCTCACCCGCCACGCCCGCCGTCCAGTCCTCACCGCGTCTCCAGAGCGCACCAGCCGCAGTAGGCGTCGGCAGCGCCCACGCAGTCCCGGCAGGTGGTGTGCGCCTCGCACACCGCGACCTTCACCCGGGCCATCTGCAGGCACAGGAAAGGCCCGCTGAGCGGCGCCAGCCTGCCCACCCCGCCCAGGAGGCCGGGCAGCATGGCCAAGGCTGAAACAAGCTGGGGAAACCGAGGCTGGAGCTCTGGTAGAGCCACGGGAGAGACGAGGCCTGGCCGGTGATCATACACAGGGCGGGGAAGGGCAGTGCCGCCGGTGGCAGAGAAATGGCACTGTGCAAATGCCAGGCTCAGCTTATCCCGGGCACTGTGTGGCTGGGGCCCCTTACCTGGTGTGAGGTCATGAGGTAAAGGTAGCCAGGGTCTGTGGGGTCAAACTGCATGACGTGATGCACGGGTTCCCCGTAGGCCACGGTCAGCACGCGGCTGCTCACCACATGCATGGTCTCGTTCAGGTTCACCTGCAGAGCACTGTGGTCAGGCCAGACAGCCGGCTGCCTGCCAGGGGAGGGGGGCGGGGAGGGGGGCAGACTGGGACGGGGGGGGTCTCGGACACCCCTCCTGCTCCCGCCTTCCACAGGCACAGCGGGGAGCCCAGAGGCACCCGCACATCCTTTCTCCACCATGAATCCCTCACCCCCACTCTTCTCCAGCTCCTCTCTGTGAATATAGGCCAGTGGTACAGTTTCCAGAACCTTCTCAGGGAGACTTTTTGGCATCATGGCTAAGAGCAAGGGCTTGAGTTTGCATTGGGGTTTGGCACTTATAAGCTACACAGGTGCACGCAGCACCCGGCGCGGTGTGCGCTTCCTCTCTGAGCCTCGGTTTCCCCAGCTGAGGAGGCAAGGATGGCCACCCCCCCCCCCCCCCGGACCACGAACTCCCGGGTGAGAGGACGCAGAGCCACACGGAGCCGCGTCTGGGCCATGGCGGAGGGACGGGACAAGTGTCACAACACGAAGCCATCTCAGGGCCAATGCAACAAATCCAGGCCTGTCAGACCCAGAGCCCAGAGCCCAAGGCCGAGGCTGGGGGCCAAAGGCCCAAGAAGGAAAGGAGCCCAGGCTCCGGGCACCCGGACACTCCAAGAGCAGAGACCCCTCTGTGTGTCCCCTGAGGACTGACAGCGCCCGGCGGAGTCTCGTCACGTTCTGTCCCTTTTTATCTGGCCCAACACGCTGTCTGGTCACGGCCCTGCTAGGCCCTGAGCTGGGACCAGGGTAGGACCAGTGCTCTAGGGAGCTCACAGGCCGGGCCCTGAGTGTCCTGAGCCCCGGCCTCCTTCAGAGGTCTTCAGGGGCTCCCTGAGGCTTATGAAAGCAACTCATGGAGACATCTGAGGCCTCTTCAGGAGCTGCCCCACCTCAGGCGTGGGGGTGGGAAACCAACAGGGCAACACCCCCTGGCCTCCCCGGGAGGAGCTGGAACCAGCAGGTGCCTCATAATGGCCTGCCACAGGCAGTGGGGGAGGGGGAGGCACTGTCCCCAGGTCACACGGCGGGCACGGCACCCTCTGCACCCGACACACAGTGGCCACCCGCTTTTCACCACTGAGGAGCTCACAGGCTCCGGGCCAGCTCCGAGACCCCTCCATGCGTCCCCTGAGGACCGGCCTGCCCTGCCCAGGCGTCTGCTGGGCAGCTGAGAAGATCAGATTAGCAGCTCTGAGTCAATTAGGCCCAGGGCCTGGTGCACGGGTGGGGATGGCCCAGCGGCCAACGCTGCCCACCGCGAGTGGTTAGCAGACCTGCCTTGGAGTGGGAAACGGGGTTCAACCTTCCTCTCGAGCTCCAGGACACACAGGCACAGAGACTGGGGTGGTGGCCAGCAGAGGTGGACGGAGACGGGATTGAGGACCCTCAGTCACAGCTTATAGCCCTTAACAGATGGGAAACTGAGGCCCCGGAGGAAAATGCACATTTGCTAGACAGTGGCAGAGCAGAAACATGGTGGCAGGCTGGGGCTGGAGATGCAGGCGAGAGGCCTTGCCGAGCCCTGCGTCTCCGTGCCTGGACGGGCCTCCCGCTGCCACGGGCCTCCCGCTGCCACGGGCCACGGTGGAGCAGCAGATGCGGCAAGGCTGGAAACTGTCAAGCGTGGTGTGCACGGGACCAGAGGCGGCCGGGCAGCCGCATGCAGACCGCTCCCGCCCCGCCTCGCCTACCTTGAGGAGCCTCCCGTTGGCAGTGCCCAGGAAGACCACCGTGTAGTTGTTGATGCTGGCCACGGCCACGGCCGTGAGCCCCGGTGCCCGGAACACGGGCGAGGCCTTCAGGGGCTGCAGGATGGACAGCGGGTGCTGCAGGTGGGCGGCACCGCAGTCGAGCTGCTCCGACAGCAACTGGAGAGAAACGGCAGGTCAGACCTAGGCTCTAGAACTTTCTCCGGCTCCCTGCCTGTGCAGCTGGCCGCATCTCAGGCCTCTGCTGGGGGGGGGGGGGGGGGGTCTTGCTCCCGCTTGGCATCCCCAGCTCTGAGCTAAGGCTCCAGTACCAGTAGGGCCCATCCCCACCGCAGGCTGTGCCCTGGCCTCTGCTCAGGTCCCGGGGCCACAGGGCAGGGGGCTGGAGGAGGGCATGGCATGAGGGCGGCCAAGAGCTGGCAAGGGACTGGTGGCCTGACCCTGAAGAGGCCGGGGTGGCACAGGGGCCCGTGCCTGTGGTCCCAGCTGCTTGGAAGGTCAATGCAGGAGGATCGTCTGAACATGGAAGTTTGAACCCAGACCGGGTTGTGCAGGGAGAGCCACACACATTGGCCACACATAAGCAGGCAGGCAGAGGAGGCAGGTAGCCTCAGCTTACCAGCTGGCACCAAATGATGCCTCCAGCCTTAGCACCACCCATCAGCCCTGGCTGGCTCCGCTCCTCTCGCCAGGCCCGCCTCTCCCCCGCCCCCAGCCAGGCTTCCTGGAGCCCCTCCATCCTCCCCAGGCACAGGGGCGTACCCCCACACCTGCCCTCATCGCAGGTGGGCAAGCCCAGGGCAGCCCAGCGTCACCTCCGCCCAGTGTGGCCAAGGCTCCTCCCACGCAAACCGACCCCTCGGAGGGGGGGCCAGGCAACTGCAGGGGACCCTGCCACTGCTGCCTTGCCCCTGTCCAGGGGCCTGAACAGGGCCCTCAGAGCTGCAGAGAAGGGGCTCAGGGAAACCCTAAGGCTGCACAGAGCTCCGGACTTCCCCTCTGGGCATGCCGTGCATGGAGCCACTGGTGCCAAGCGCACACAGGTGCCCGGATAGTCTTCATAAAGGGGTGAACAGGGGTGTCCCTGGGCGGGGACCTAGCCCAAAGATTAGAGGGTGTCTGGTCTTCCCAGAGTGGGCCAAGGGAAGGCTGGGGCCAGTCCCTGCCGGCCCCCAGCCTCGGTTTTGACTGTAAAACGGCACATGGACAGCGCGGCCCTCTGGGGCCTGAGACCCTCGCTCTGCGGTGACTGCTAATCTCCTGACTATAAACCAGCTCTGGGGCCCGAGCACAGCTCAGGGGTTAGGGCCTGTGCTCAGCACACACCGGGCACTGAGTTCTGTCATTGCCACCAAATCAACCAACCAACCAACCAACCAACCAATCAATCAGTAAATACAAAAGTTGGGGGCAAAGCATGCCCACTTCCACTTGGACCTCAGCGCCCAAAGCAGGCCTTCAGGCGGCCATCTTCCTGTTCAGACAGCGCCCAGCCCCTCACAGTCCGGGCCCAGGTTTGTTCCCCATATTTCCCACTTCTGAACATAGCTGCCACATGAATGCTTAAAAACTTCCAGTAGGTTCCAGAACATGTGGAATAAATCCTGAATCTCAGCCCGCGCTGGCCTGCTCTGGCCATCCTGTCTTCTTCCCACCCTAGCCGCTCTTCTGACCCTCAGTCGGCACAAGCCGGTCCACCTTGGGGCCTTGGCCCTTGCTCTTCCCTGTGGTTACCCAGCACCTCCCTCCCCCCATCTGTGGAGACATGCTTAACCCCGAGAGTCCCGGAAACTGTCTACAGAGGCTGTGTTTTGTCCCTAAGCACGGAACATCAGTTCCATGTTCAGTGCGGCTCTGCAGAGTCTGGTTTTAGTTCTCATTGGTGCATTCCGCAAACCTGAAGAGATGCACCTGTGACGGCTTATTTTCTAAATCAGATGAACAATAACTAATCACAAGATAAAACAAGCAGGGCAGGTAGGGCACACCTATAGTCCCAGCCACCAGGGAGGGAGAGGCAGGAGGATGGCCAATCCCAGGCCAGCCCTGGAGAAGCTACAGGATCCCAGAGCAAAACAAAATTTAGGAAGTCCACCACTGGTGGCTCAGGTCTACCGTCCTACCCAGGAGCCTAATGTGGAAGACTGTGGTTTGAAGCCAGGCTGGGCAGAGAACAGAGACTGCTTCTCCCAAATAACCAGCAAAACAATAACAAACAAACAAAACGGGAAGATCAAATGGTAGAGCCTGAGCCCGAGCAGGCAAGAGGCTGCGTTCAACCCGGCACCTGACAGTCCCTGCCGCCCGCACACCACACAGCTGCTCTTCTTTAAACGGCGTTGGGGATCCTCAGTTAACTCTTGTGAAGAACGCCGCCATCTCACTCACCGCCGCACTGGGGCTCTCTGGTGTGGCTGAATCCACTCCGCCACACGCCTGCCTGCTCTTCGGTGAATGACGGTGGTAATGTGAGTGACTCCAACCCAGCATGGTGGCCCAGGGACACTGAATCTGATGACCAGGACTGGGTGGGCAGCACATACTGCGTGGAAACGCAGGACACAACTCACGGGAGGAGGGACAACATGAGGTTTCATCCTAACAGCAAGCAACTTAAAACCTCTGAATTGTTTGCTTCTAGAATCTCCTATTTAATATTCGGGGACCTTAGCTGACCAAGGGCAAATGAAATGGTGGAAAGAGAAGCCACAGATGACGGGGAGGGGGGACCCCAGGACAGGACTGGCTCCTTCTCCTTTGCTGGAAGCCAGCGGTGGCCGGCCGGGAGGTGGGCGCTGGGCCAGCAGAAGGGGCGCCCGCAGGCAGAGAGAGGGCGGGGCTCAGCTGCCCAAGGCAAGGAACGCGTTTCCTGCAAGTTATATAACTTCGCTCCACTGAATATGGATTACTTGCGTCACTAAATAATAAGTTGTTTTTAAATTAAAACTGCAAACTGTGGAGGGGATGGGCTCTGGGAGGAGAGATCTGGGGGCCCTGGATAGCATTTGGGGGTTTCCTGCTCTGAACCTCCTCGGGAGGCCCAGTGCAGCCAGGGTGGGGGTCCTGGGACCGGCCAGGCCGCGCGGCTGGGGGGGGGGGGTTGTTGGGGGGGGAGTGTGATTTGCGGCCGAGCAGCGGGGGAGGGGCCGGGAATGCTCTCGCTGCTGTTCTAGCTGCAGCCCTGACGTTCACAGCCATTAATTCTGTGCCGAAGGAATTTTCTAAAAAGCCTTTCCCCCAACTTTTTTTTTTCCTTATCCTAAAAATAAAACCTAAAAAAAAAATAATAATAAATTAGAGGAGAGAGAGCCGTCATCTGTGCTGGGGGCTGTAAAGCCGATTGACTGGGCGGAAGCTGGGTGACTGGACCCCAGGCCCAGGCAATGGGGAAATGCCCCCCCCCCCTGCTGCCAGTAGGAGCTGTTGGCCCAGGAAGGGGACACGGCCCAGACCTGGGGACGGCAGCCATCCCGAGTGCCCAGGACACTTGCTCTCCCATGGGGTCGCACTCAGAGTCCTTTCCCAGCACCTCCTTCCACACCGCATGGGACAGCAGAGACCTCGGGCCAGTCCCCCCCCCACAGCCCAGCCCCTCAGGTCCCCAAGGGTGCGCTGGTCCCCCCCCACACACAGCCTGGCACCTGGCACCCACTGTCTCGGGTCTGGCGCTCTAGACCTTCTGACAGGACCTGCCAACGGGAGCCTGCAGCCCGGCCTCCCTCCCCCTGCCCTGCTCCAGCCCCTCTAGATCCAATTCCCCAAACACTCCCTGCACCTCTGCAAACATTCCCACCCCCTCCCCCAGACCGCTGAGCCGCAAGCACTTCCCAGTCAGCTCCCCACGGCTGCTCCAGGTGTGCCCTGAGGCAAGTTTGTAATCGGCTTCCCAGATGTGGCCAAAACAAACCCACCCAAACCCAAACTAACCCCTCCCCCCCCCCACTCGCTGGGCTGGCCACCACTTCCACATTGATCCCGGTATAGGGTACATGAGTTTCTCCAGGGAGAAAATGTGCTCTGGGGAAAACGCTTATTAAATTTTGACTAAAATGTGAATGACTTCCTAAAATGCTTCCTTCCTGAGCAGAGTGACAGTAATCTAACTGTGCCCGGTATTAGGGAATTCAGGGGAGGTGTGGGTTGACGGGTTGCCTACTGTGTGTAGGATCAAAGGAGAGGCAGGCTCTCAGACCTGGACAGCAACGGGCAGCTAGTTTTGGTTCCCCTATGAGCCTCAGTTTACCTCTCTAAAATCGGACAACCAGTGTTCACCGATCCCAGCTCCCTTCTGAGGGCAGGCTGGTCTCTCCCCATCACGCTGGCCGCCTCCTGGGGGTCAGCTCAGCTCTGCCCACTCGACCACTAAATCCCTGACATGGCAATTTTACTACCAACTGGGATTGCACTGGTTCCCTCCCGCCCCCACCCCCCCGGAAGCCAGCTGGAGGGGAAAGTGCGGGTACCCGGGCCTCACATCCTGCCTGCAGACCCCCTGCCCCAGGTCCCAGCGCGTCTGCAGGTGGCATTCACGGGAAGGCACCAGGCAGCGTGCAAGAGCCACGGTTCTGTACCAAGCCGGTGCCCAGGGGCTCTGGGCAGAGCCACCAAGCGGAGCTGGTGTGCATTTCATTTTTGGTGGCTCCTTGACACCACGAGCTTGGCATGAAAGGCAACTTGGGACCCTGGAGGCCCCGGTAGAGTGAATGGGAAGTAATGCTCCAGTGCGGGCCTCTGTTTGGACCAATGGGCCGAGGTAATGTAAGAGGCTGGCGATGGGGCGGGGGAGGGGAGCAGGAACTGTCTGTACTGTCTTTGCAATTTTCCTGCAAATCGAAAATTATCTCGAAATAAAGCGATTACTTTAAAAAAAAAAAAAAAAGAGCTGCGTGTGTGGAGCGCGCCGGGAGTTCAAGGCCACCCTGTGCTACACCGCAAAGCTGTCAGACAAAAACCAGGGAAACACAAATCCTGAAAGCCGACCTTGCTGCTCCCATAAACCTGGGCCTGGCTCCGGGGCCCCAAGGCCTGGCTCAGGGTGACCCTGGCCCCCACGGCCTGAGTCCCGCCACATGGGGCCTTGTCTCCTTCATGCAGGGAGACGTAGGGACAAGGACAGGGAGCAGGTGGAGCTGGGCAGGACACACAAGTGGTCAGATGGA